CTGCCCAGAGAGGAATAATAAATATTCCATAGTCTTCGTGATTAAGTTGGAAAGGCACTTTTAGGAATAAGGAGCAAACACTGAAAACAGGAATAGATGTGATTGTACTAATTTCCTCCTCCAGTCCTGCTCCCAGAGCAGAATCTTCTGATCAGAGAAAACAGGAAATGAAGGAAAGTACATTTGCTTGATTCATAACTGTTGTATAACCCATGTGGGGTTTTGAGGGTGGGAAAGGAATGGACAAATGCCAGCAGGCACACAGGACAGCTGAGCTCTGCTGTCCAGTTCGGGGTCTTCACGATAGGTCTGTGACGGATGAATCGTCCCTTGGATACAATGGTGAGGAATTCTGCAGGGCAGACACTAACAGGTAGACTACAGCACAGAGAGTGTCTACTGGCAACTCAGAGCCTCGAGGGGGAGACAGCGGAGGGGCTTGGCCCTCTAATGATCCTAAGAGCATCTGCTACTAACAAAAGGAACAGTGACAAAGAAAGGAGAGGTCGAGAAGGGCTGAACATGCGTAAAACCTGAACAATGTGAACAAGGTAGAATCCAACCTGATATGCTACAAGCTGAAGTCTAAGGCAGGAGCTCAGACTCTTCAACAAAGAAACGGGAGCAGATTCATCCAGAACCAGAAAATAGGTGACGGCACGAAGCGGGCGGATGTGTGCAGACTGCATAGGAACAAGGGTTACCTACCAACCCACCGCGTCACGTGCAGTGCTGGAGAGGCTGCAGCTTTGAGACTCTGTTTCCCCTGTATCATCTTCGCAATGGCAGTGTTGAATTTTCCTAAAGATTTGAATCAATATGTGGAAAAGGAAGAGAAAGAAAGGAATCTGGGGGTGATTTTAAGAATCTGAATGCAGCTACATTATAAACCTGAATTGGCAGAGAAGCACCTAAATAGGAAGAAATTTACCTGAATGCAACTTGATCTCAGTTTTCAGCTATTGAGCAGAAATGGAAGCTTAATGGTAGAAATTATATTTGACTATGGAATAATAAGTTACACATTTGCATACATCAGCTTATGATTGGAAATTTGAATCCATTATGTGGTTCTAGCAACTTAAAATTTTCTTTTATGCTTTAAATTTCTTATGATTTTATTTTTTAAAAAATCTACTATCATTCATTCATATGCTCTGCCTTTGTTTCTGGATCATTCCTCATTCAACTAGATCAGAGACAGCTATTAAACCAACACTAAAAAGTCAAGAGCCAAATGAGTACTTATTCACCCTAGTTAAAAGTGCGCCTCTCTGCAGCTCTGTCTGCCTTTGTTTGTGTTGGTACCTTGCCTGAAATATCTTCCCCCATCTGGTTCATCAAATCATATTGATCAAGGCCTCCTTCAGGTTTCATCCCTCAATTCAGGTTTTCTAGGTTATTCAAGTCTATAGTGTAACCCTCCCCTGAACTCTTACAGGATGTACAGTGTGCATCCCAAAGTTAAGAAGTGAATTATAATGATTTGTTTTCTTTATAAAAAATACTTTTTTTGTACCAGGGATCAAACTCACAACCTTGTACTTGCCAGGCAGAAGCCTTGCCATTGAGCTAAATCCTCAGCTCAGGATTTATTTTCTTCTAATAATCTTTTTTTGTTATGCCAATTAGATTCTGGCCTTCCCAAGGTCTCTCAATATATATGTATATCTGTCTTTGAGTGAAAATTCTTGGGAAAATGGATACGACGTTTTTGAGTGGCACAGTCCTTGTATTTGCCTTGTAACACGCTGAATTTTGACATTAAAGTTAAGCGGACATGCATACACAGGGTTCTCCTGTGTAAACCCAACCTACGGACCAATTTCCTTCAAAGAATGTGACCTGTATAAGCCAAATGTGAGATACCATATTATACCTATATTAACTGCAAAGCACAATTTAACATGTAGCATGCTACCAAAGGGATCGTATTGTGTAGATTGCTTGACACATTGGGGAGGTGGATGAAGTTATAGCCCAAGTTGTTATGATGATTGTTTCCAATTCTAACAGAGTCACATCAATCAATAAAAGGCTGTCTTATCCCTTGCCAGCATCCATCCCCTTTTCCCCCACTTCCATCACTTGGAGTTTAGGGACCCCAAGGACACCCTGAGACCCACATCCATTCAGAGAATGAAGTGTGTCTAATCAAAGTGCCCGTGTAATTGCTTGGGTCAAAGTTGTGCTAAGAATCAGCTGAAGAATTAAAAAAGAATTAACTCAAATTTCAGGCTCAGATTCGAGAGAAGGTTTGAATTTACGACAGCCCTGTCAATGTCCCCCTCTGGATGTCTAACCAGTTGTGTAGTAATCTTTTATTGACATATGCGGATTAGAAATTCTTTCAAGTCACTTTACATAGACACCCAGGAGAGTGATGGAGATGGATTTGTCCCCACCATCTGACCATCACATTGCCTCCTATTTGGCTTGGCAGGTTTGATAAAGAGCTGCATTTACACATTGGCATATTCGTTGATGGGCCCATCTCTAATATTGACAGCAAAAGGTGACTTTCCCAATTTGGATCTTTGGTTGTTGAAATTTGTCCTCCTGTCTTCCTTTACTGTTTATATTATCACAGCTTTTCCTATCTTTTGCATCTTTGGTCAAATCTCCAAACTTACTAAGTTTGCTATGTTGAAGTACTCTACTATAATTCTGGTGACAATTATGTTTTCTGTTGTTGGGAGAGTGTGCCTAACTTGGAAAATAAGCTACTTAACTGGCAGGCTGCCATCATGCTTCCTTTACCTAAATCCTCAAATGCCCTGTCTTTCCATTAATTGCTTTAAAGAAGTCTGTTTTACTCTGCTTCCTAAATAATGCCATCGTGATTTGTAGAAGCTATGAGAGGCAGCTAATAAAATTAGTCTTTGGAAAGGAGAGAACCTGCAGAATTTCAGTTGTTAAGAACGGTGACAATTCCGTGATCAGAGAAGCCCACTTACCTTAGAAGGCTACTCACTCAGGTCTGTCACGCTGGTCTGTAACCTTGAGCAAAGCGGTCTGAGGCCATCAAGTGTAGTTAGAGATGCCCCAGCTCATTCCCAAGGAGCCACAGTGGACAGTCTTGGAGTCCTCCAATCACACTTTTATTGTTTCTCAAAATAAAAATTGCACCCTTTAGTGGACATTGCACTTCTTTCAATTTTGGGTGAAATTAGCATACTGTAGTAAGACGTTTATGCTTTTCTTTTTCTTTGCTTTAAGGCCAATTATACGACTCTAAAAACTGCATTCTGCACTTGACTTACAAAGCAATCTGACCTCTAATCTGAGTCTAATACAATCAAAAATATTTGTTGTCCAGACTATTGATGTATCTCCTTTGCTTCATAGAACTAAAACATTCACAGGTACAGCTACTGTATCATCAGTCAGAAAGAATGTGCCTAGAAATGCAGTCTATATTTATTTTCTCAAAGTGCCTATTAGTGAATATTGTGACCAATAATGTTCAGATGTTTCTGAATCACACATGTTCTGCGAGAATATGGTGCTATACTTCTTTATACAACTGTTAAGAGAAGAGGTCCCAGGCAGAACTCTGTAAGAAGAGAAGCACATGTTATGATTGCCCCCGGGGGAGTTCTGGACGTAGAGACTCCAGTTATGGTGCTGGCTTAAGGGTTATCCTTCAGTTGAAGAGTTTTCCTGACAGTGTGACCTGGTTTATTACAATTTATGCTAGCTGAATGTGGTGGTGCGTGCCTGTAATCCCAGCACCCTGGGAAGCTGAGGCAAGAGGATAGGCAGTTTAAGGACTTAGTGAGACCTTGTCTCAAAATAAAAATAGAGTTAGGGACATAGTTCAGCATGAAGGCTCTGGGTTTAGTCCCTCGTCCTGAAAAACAAACAAACAAACAGCAATGCTGCATATTTATTGATTTTAGGACACCACAATTTATGTGCAAAAGATAGTATTTTTTTCTCTAGTCACCTGCAACTAAGGGCTAAAAGGTCTTTGTTAATTCTAAATGCCCCCAAATTACAGTAAGGCATTTTAGTCAGATTTCTGTCACTGTAGCAAGGACCCTAGATGATCACCTTATTTATAAAGAGAAAAGGTTTGTTTTAGCTTTATTGTGTTGAAGATCTAGTCCGTGATACTTGTCCTCATTGCTCTTGGACAACACCAAATACTGCGTATGATTCCAAAAGACAAATCAGGGTCACTAAGGACAGGTGGGGGCGGGCAGTGACACAGCGTGGTGGTCAGCCTTGCAGCTTCTGAAGCTTGCTTTCCTGCCTTTGAATCCCAGCTCCATTGCAAGCAAGTGGTATGACATTGGGAGGTGTCTTCACTTCTCTGGGTTTTGGTTTCCACACATGCAAATTCAGAATCTTACATCATATTTGACTAATAGAGTGCATTTGAGGATTTAAAGGTGCTGTGCTTTCGAAGCCATTAAAGTGGTGCCTGAATGCTTATAGAAAGCATGATCTTCACCCACTAAACAGGTGAACCTTACCTTCTGACAGTATCTATGTGCACATACAATCTTGTGGGAGCAGCCTGGTTGTATCTCTGGGTCTGTGTCGGCCACAGCCCAGCAACCCACTGCCTCGGAAGTCTGCACCCACGTTTCCCTCCAGTGCTAGGCATGACCACTCCCCAGAAGGCATCTCCTTTGCTAGGCGTGACCACCACTCTGAGGCTCCTTCTCTGAGCTCCTGGGCTCCACTCAGACTTCCTTCCCCCTTTGTTCCCCAGTTCCAGGAGGAATAATTGCTTCTGCTGTTACTATCTCTGGGTTATCAGGGTCTCTTCATCTTCCTATATTAAATTTCCTATATTGAATTCCCTGTACTGAAACACAACCTGTCTTTTTTGTTTTCCTGATTGAACACTGGCTGATGTAAGTAATAATTATGAATTTGAGAAATGATTAACTCCTGAATGGTAAGAAACTTTTGAGTTTTTCTAAAGAAAGTCAATCTGGTCTGACATCTTTCATGTAACACCCTCTTATCTCTGCTTACATACACAGGCTGCACCCAAGGAGCGAGAGGCACAAGTTCTTAACAGAAAAGGTAGGAAGCAGTCCAAAGCCTTTTGTGTTGGTGTTTGTTATCAACTAGGATTGGCTTCTGCTACTAAAAACAAAAGCTCTTATTCGAGTAGTGGACCACAAGAGGTGCCCCGAGGTCTGGTGGTGGACAATGTGGCCACCCAGCTGACCAAGGGAGAGCAAAGAAACCAGACTTTGCTGTCTTCCTGCCCTGCAGTCCTTGGAATGTGGTTTTGGTCTTGCTGATCCAAGGTACGGCTCCATGTCCTCCTTCAGACAAGGAGTATTAGCAAGTTTATTTCATTACTCGGAGGTGTACCACCGTGTTTCGCTTGAAGCTTCAAACAAGATGGAAAATTGAGTTTTTAGATGTTGTTTAGCTCTATAAGCAGAGGATGGCAAGAGAGAAAGGCAGTTGCATGACTCATCACGCAGATTCAGGGGCTCATTCATTTTCCGTGGGTGCCGCTCAGTGAGCTGCTGCATTCCAGCCCCTCTACGCCTCAGGGAGGTGACTGGTGCCACAGGCTGATTACATATTGTTCATTTCAGTGGAGTCTTAGGTTCTTCATTATTTGCTTTCTATATTTGAACAGAAAGGAAATTCTAGGAGTTCAAAGGGGCAGAGAACAAAGCAAGTGCATGCCAGAGTACTTAGCCATCCACACGATAGCATTTGAACTTGCTCAATGATCACTTAGCACGCAACGGTGACTGTCCTCTGTACGCTCCCTGATGGCTGCAAGGTGACCCTTGAAGAGTTGCGAGAAACCTCACTGAAGTCTTTGGCAGGACTTTACCCTCCTTCTTAATTAGCTGCTGGGAAGGAGTGGAATTGTTTGCCATTCCAGTGTCCCCATTTAACTCACTGGGACTTGGCTCTGCCAGTGGAGAAGGAGAGAGGGACTGCTCTTGATGGCACGGCCTAATGAGGCTTTCAGTAACACATGGATGCCATTAGACCTCAGAGCTTCTCAAATATGTAAAGAGGCAACCTGCACAATACTGTGAAAACCCGGAGCATGCGAAGGATTTGGTGATTGTGTTTTATTTAACTAAGATGAAAGCAGCAATCTTCCCATCAGGCGGTATTTGTGATTAATTAAGAAAGATTCTGCAAAGCAATCCATGTTTTTTTATGCTAAATGGAGGCACGATAACAAGAGAGGACAATCGTGATGCTCACTCTGAACAGCAATAGGCTTGGCCTCGGCCCCACCGGCTAAATTTCACCTCAGTGACATTCAAGGTTTGGCAGCCACCTCTAGGCTCATCACAGATGCTAATAGCAAATCCACAGAAACAGATCATTAGAGAATGCCAAACCTGCACTGGTTCGTTTCTTTTTAGAACTTCTCTCCCCGTTTTCCAGAGATTGGCTAAGGTAGATGAGCACGTCTGTGACACTCATGTGCGTTTAGAGGGGAGAGGGGAGGACGCAAGATGACCACAGAGTGGAGTGGGAGAAGAAAGAGAGGCAGAGTCTTGTTGGATGAAGAGTTAGTTCCTGGATGGTGACAGCTGTGAAGTGTGCTGGCACTCAGCTACGTCTAGGTCACTCCTCAAAGTACACAGCCTGGTGACATTCACAGCCTTACTCAGTCACAAGTTCAGCCAAAGAAACGCCACTGGGCTCATCTAAAACCAGTGCCAATGACTACATAACTGTGATGCTGTTGGTAGAGTCTTTAACACAAAACAACAGGTCTTGCAGTGTTCAAATTACTTGAACATATTTGAGGTAATTCATTGACCAATTATTTATTAAACTATGACATTCCTTAGTCTGTGACAGCCATTTTGAACTAAAGGATTTCCTTTGAAATCCAAGAAAAAATTCATTCTCCCATTTATTTCCTCTATGTTTATTGATTGCCAGGCAAGAGCTACGTGGTGGGATAGGTTTTAGAAATATGTGATAAGCCAGTATTGACATGTGTTCTGACTTCATAAGACAAATGAGTTATGTGTGACTTTGATGAGGAAGAAGATGTAATTTAGATGAGGAGAAAAGCGAGTCCAAAGGGAAAGACGGGAAGATGCTTCTCCAAGAGCTGCTGGTGGTGGCGAGGAAAGCTGTGTGATACCAGAAACTTCCTTAGGGAGCAGGATGCCCAACTGGGATCTAAATGATGAACAGAAGCTTTTTGGGAATGAAGGTAAACTTCGGGTAGGAAAGTGTGTTTTGGAACCTAAAACAGCCTATGATAATGTTAGAAGCTTGAGATATAGAAGTAGATATTTAGAAAACACTATTCTTTTGCATGGCTGCAGGCCAGTATGTGTGAGGGGCCAGGGGAAGGAGGAGGGATTTGGTGGAAAGAAATTTAAAAAAGCAAGATCTGCATCTTTGTCGGAGGTCCTGCATCATGAACATTCATTTAAACCGTATAAAGGAGCTTGGATTTATCCTAAAATAGTTTAGACTGCTGTGTGGTTTGATCAAATTTACACTTGATAATGAAGGAAGGGTGATCTGTGTACAGTAGGGAAAACAGGCCTGGTTTCCCAATAAAGAAATTGATTCAGGAATGCAATTAGGTAAAGCCATTGTTAAGAGACAAAGGATAGAAGCCAGTGGAACTGTGCATGCGGGGACCTTAGGGAGCTAGTTAGGAGGTAGAATCAGTAGGCATTAATGACAAATCTGGAGGGACCTTGTGGTTAGTCCAGGCCCATGTTTGACAACCGTGCTGTTTTCTGAGACAGAAAATCCAATTCGGGTTTTGGAGGCTGGGGAGAGGCCTTCTGTTATATTCTACAGGCGTTAAATTTTAAGTGCTTGTGAGCTGTGCTTTAGGACTCGCTAGAGAAACACATTTAATGCAAGATATAGAAACATATAAGGATGAAAAGGTAAGTTTTTGGTGACTGTCTGCAAACTTAGATATGGAAAGCAGATGAGCCATCTGTACGCTGTAGACCCAAAGGGTCCAATCCAAGGCTGTAGTGTCTGTGTAAGAGTGTGTAAGGATGCTGTGCTCGAGACCTAGGAGTCTGCATTACCTCCAGGAAAGAACGTCCACAATGAAGGCGAAGGCTGGAGCTCCTCCGAAGACACAGAAGCCAGTCTTCCTTTATTTTCTTGTATTCTATTCAGGTGACAAACTTACCCAGGGTGGGTCTTTTGTCTTCAGTAAATTCCTTCAGCCACACTCAGGGCTCCACTAATCCAGTTTAGCTGGGTGTTTCTTACCCAAGAAGGTGCAAGCAGTTAACTATCCCGGGGGCCATCGAAGTCATGGCGTCTATCAGACAAGGCGTAATTACATTCCTGGAATGCACCGGTGTTGTTGCACCTGGATGAGCTGATTGCCCGTGAAGTTACAGATGATGCAAAAGGGAATGAGCTACTCAGTAACAGCTTCTCCATTGGAGAGAATCGACTTGGAAGCTTGCAGAAAGCACTGCATTGACAAGTGGAGCAGAAACAGAACGCCCAAAGGAGACGGTCTCAAGAAAATCCTTGGGGCCAGAATGAGTTCTCAGTGAGAAAATGTCAATGTCTGGGTAGAGGTATGTGATTATGAAAAGGAAGAGAAAGCTAGCGGATGTTTGATGTGAAGGCGGTGACTGAAGCATAATTTCGCTTTAAAATGGAGAAAGCTTAACATAGGCACACAGATTTGGAGGTTATGATAATCCAACCTGGGGATAAAGTTTATCTTTGAAAGGCTCATGAAAAGAGGATTTACTCCACAAAGGAGGGATGTTAACACACTTGTGGAGAGGCGTATTTAACCTGCTAAGAGAACAAAGTGTTTCTCTGCCTCCGACAGCAGCTGTTTGCATAGGTACGTGTGATTAAAGATAGCTTCTACCCTCTCCCTGGAGTCAGGCCTCAGGAATGATTTTGAACATCAAAGTTTGTTTGTTCATGTGTTGTTTCCTTCATTCTCCAGCCTTCTAGGTACTGTTCTAGGTGACAGGAATTCAAAGAAGCCAAAGTCATGTTCTTTCCTCAAGAAATTAACTGCAATAAATGTGAGTCATTTGTAAGGAAAAGAATGCCTCCTCAGGTCGCTGTGTTAAGTGAAATAAATCAGACCTGCTAGCTTCAATATCACATGGTTTCTTTTATATGAGAAACCCAAAATATAAATAAAGAGCAAAATAAAAAAAACATAATAAGAAATAGGAAGGTGGCTGTTTTGTAGATAGATGGAGAAGGAGCCAAGAGGCAGAAGGAAGTGGGGGCGGGCTGGACACAAAATCAGGATGCCTGCTCCCCATGAGAAACCAATTGTACGTACCGCAAACACGTACTAATACAAAGTGAGAAGTGGAAAAATAAAGCCCTTCAAAACAGAAGTTAAGTGCTTGGAGGAGAGCCAGGAGTTTGTAAATCAGTGAGCCAGTGCAGAGGGAGACCTGGGTGGGTGTCACGGCGCGTGGGTGAGAGGGCTCCCAGTGCAGCGGGCGGGTGGAGGAGCGGGTGCAGGGCCTCTCTGTAACACTGCTGAAGCCTTGGGGTTTGCGGAGCCCTGTTCTCTTGTAGTATGGTGCAGCACTAGTTTTCTGTGTCAACTACACATTTGCTTCCTAATCTTTATGTCTGAAGTTAACACTGGCTCTGCAGTAGGAACAAAAGTATTCCTGAGCACTGTTGTCACAGGTCCACTTCGTCGGCCCCTGTAACAGAGAAATGGCCGAGTGTGTGAGCCAGGCTGGGTTTTACTAGCCCCAGGATCCTGAACAGCAGACGGAGTTGGCAACCACCCCTGGGTTCTGAGGGACGGCTTACAGCGAGATCCAGCCTCCTTATATACCACCCTGTTGCTTTGGGGGCCAGCGAGGAGCCCATTGGCCTTCTGTCTGTGTGTCTGTGTGTCTGCTTGTCTCTCTGTCTCTCGCTCTCTCATTTTCTCTTCCCTTCATAATTAATTAGAGACTGTGTTGTTCCACTGAAGAATGGGAATTAAACACTTTTTAATCAAATGTTGGTTAACTCTCCTTTTCTCCCAAGTCCCCCAACCGGCCCCACTCTCAGCCAGAACCAATTTCCTGCTAAGGGTTGCTACC